TATACCCAACATATGCCAAGTACTGAAAGCGCCGTTTGGTCACATTTGTCCCAATCCCCTTTGCAGTTTTCAAAATATCCCAAACATCCCAATTTCGAGCCCTGAGCCATATTTTGGAGCCAAATTCTGGCTGTACGCACGTATTCGCAGTTTGAAATTTCGATTTTTTATACCAACATATGCCAAGTCCTGAAAGTTGCAGTGAGTCACATTTTGCACAAACTCCCCTGCAGTTTTCGAAATATCCAAAATATCCCAATTTCGAGGCCTGAGCCATATTTTGGAGCCAAATTAAGGCTCTCTGCACGTATTCGCAGTTTGAAATTGCAACTTTTTTATACCCAAAATATGCGAAGTACTGAAAGCGGCGTTTGGTAACATTTGTCCCAAACCTCCCTGCAGTTTTCAAAATATCCCAAAAACCCCAGTATCGAGGCCTGAGCCGTATTTTGGAGCCAAATTCTGGCTCTCTGCACGTATTCGCAGTTTGAAATTACGACTTTTTATACCCAACATATGCCAAATCCTGAAAGCGGCAATGAGTCACATTTTGCACAAACTCCCCTGCAGTTTTCAAAATATCCAAAATATCCCAATTTCGAGGCCTGAGCCATAATTTGCAGCCAAATTCTGGCTCTCTGCACGTATTCGCAGTTTGAAATTTCGACTTTTTATACCCAACATATGCCAAGTCCTGAAAGTGGCAGTGAGTCACATTTTGCACAAACTCCCCTGCAGTTTTCAAAATATTCCAAATATCCCAATTTCGAGGCCTGAACTAAATTTTGGAGCCAAATTCTGGCTCTCTGCACGTATTCGCAGTTTGAAATTGTGACTTTTTTATACCCAACATATGCCAAGTACTGAAAGCGCCGTTTGGTCTTATTTGTCCCAATCCCCTTTGCAGTTTTTAAAATATCCCAAACATCCCAATATCGAGGCCTGAGCCATATTTTGGAGCCAAATTCTGGCTCTCTGCACGTATTCGCAGTTTGAAATTACGAATTTTTATACCCAACATGTGGTATATTATAATAATAAAAGGTAAACAATTGGTAGTTTAAGAAGGAGCCATAACAAAGTGGTTTAGGCTACCAATTGTCCCTCGCATTAGTGTGTAAGAAGATTTCAGGCAGTTTACAAGTATATACAGTCCACTCAATTAATTCTTACTTAGAAAAATAAATAAGACATAACTTTATCATATTAAAGTCAATTTAAATAAAGAGATTAGCTGCCTGGAGTTTCCCCACACAGCTCTGGTGCCTTTCGTTCAACTCCCGCCCTCAGTTTGTATGTTGACACTGGCTTTCTCTCTCTCCAGGACCGCCGTGATCGCTACTATCTTCACTATCTTGCGTGGTCCTTACAACATCCTTCCTCTCACCTCTGTCGTGCTTTAACATTGACTCCTGTGGTTCCTGTTCATCTTCATCGCCTCCCTCTTTCTGTCCGGTTATCTCGCTTTCTGTTCGTATTTCTAATGTTTCTCCTCGTATTGTTCCTTGCCTCCGTGGAGAGTACCCCTTCCAAAGTTTTGTACGTCCTTGACCCGCATCACTAACGCTTTTACCCCTCCTAGGGTTCTGAAACGCCTTTTCCTTGAGCACTTTTCTTCGCACTCCCACTCTGTTTCCATCTTCACCGAGGGGTCTAAGTCTGCGGACGGTGTGGGCTACTGTTTTTTTCCTGACCGCACTTATATGTGTCGCCTCCTTCCGGAGGCTAGCGTCTTCACAGCAGAACTTTATGCTGTTCTCTATGCTCTCCGTCTCTTGCTTTCTCATTGTCAATCCTCCTTTGTGATTGCAGTTGACTCTCGTAGTGCTCTCATGGCTGTAGGGTCCTTTAATCCTGTGCATCCGGTGGTCATGGATATTCAACATTGGCTGTTTCTTATTTCTAGTACATTTAAATCGGTAGAGTTTTGCTTGGTTCCCAGCCATATTGGTGTTTCTTTAAATGAGCATGCGGATGCTGCCTCTAAGGAAGCTATCCGTTCTTGTCCCATCTCCCATAAAGGTATTCCTTACTCCGACTTTTATCCTGTTATTCATTCCTCCATCCTTTCCTATTGGCAGGGTTGTTGGTCGTCTGTAGTTGGTAACAAGTTGCGTACTCTCAAACGTAGTGTGTCCCTGTGTCCTTCCTCCTGCCACCGTAACCGTCGGTGGGAAACTGCTCTAGCAAGTTGCTGATTGGCCATACTCGCTGAACTCATGGTCACTTAATGGAGCGCCACCCTGCTCCTTATTGTCCAAATTGCGTTGTCCCTCTTACAGTTGTGCATATCCTTGTTGAATGTCCAGACTTCCAGGATGTGCGTGTGTCTTGCTTTCCAACTGCCCCTCGCGGTCACTTGTCCCTGGATAGAATTGTTGGTGAATCGGATACTTTTGATATCGTTCGCCTTATGCGTTCTGTTCTCGTATTGGCATTCTTGGTGATATTTAGCGCCCTCTGATTATTTCGCAGTTTGAGGGTGCTATGTAGCCTTCTCGGTTTGGTGCCTTCTTTTGATAATTACCTTACCTTTCACTGCATCAACTTTTGGTGAATGATGGATTCATACTCGGTCCTTATTTCATCGTTCTATTTCGTTGTAATGTTAGTGTGGTAGTTGTGATATGGATTGTAAAACCTTGCATGTGAGCCAGAACAATGTTATTTGTATATTAAGAAGAATTTGTCAGTCTTGTAACCATTTTTAGAGTTCATGTAGATCTCTGTAAGGCCTCGATATCATTGGGTTTTTTTTACTCTATGAATCTTGTCGTTTGATGTCATCGATTTATAAGGTTTAGACCCTTGTGGTATGAATCTCGCAAAATTTTCCAGTCATTTCTGTTTAGGACGCTTTAATTTGACTGTTACCATTGAGTTTCTACCATTGATTCTGTGCCTGTTTTTCCCCTCCTATTCTTTCATATGGTGCTTTAGCAAGCAAGTGACATGTGTACCAGAAGTCTTGTTTGAATAGCTGGTTACCATTTCCTCAAAAAAGTGACCAGGTTTGTTAACAAACCAATGTGTTATTACAAGATCATTGAATGATTGTCACCTCGCAGATGCGAGGTGAAACTAATCTGACAGTTTTGTGCTTGGTTATTTCGAAGATTTGAGTGACATTTGAAATCTAGATAAACTTATGAACATCTTTTAACTTTAGTAATTTTGGCTGAGAGTTCATTGAAGTTTGGATTAAATTCTAGGCATGTGGTAATTATAAATTTTAGTTTGTAAGGCTCTTCCAGTTTATGGTACTTTTTACAGGTAGTGTATAATACACTACTATCCTTAATTACTTCTATTCATCAGCTTGAAACATTTGTGGTTATGGGATGTCTGGTGTGAATAATGAAATTTTCATTCAAAATATTTGGTAGGACATATCAAAGTCCAGGAAATAATAAGGCAGACTGGTCATGTCTAATATTGTTTTTCTTATACTAGAACTTTCAGAGTTGGATTTTATTTTTGACAATAGGTAGTTTCATACTTTCCTATCAAGTTTTAATATCTAGCCCATTATAATTAACTTCTGATTACTGGAACCACAGTGTTCCAGGTCTGGCATTTAGTAAGGTATTGGTGAAAAACCATATTGTATAGATGTTTCAGTTTGACATTTAAGTCAACGTATTTTTTTTTACAACACTACCACTAATCTTTCAATGTTTAGATGTTGCTTAGCCTTAACAATTGTATGGACTACATTTAAGTTTAATTTTAGTCAAGTGTAAAATTAAGATACTTTGCAAATTAGTAATGTTAGTTTAGATTTATCAGCTTAATCCAGTTTGGCATATTAAATGCAGAACTCTGAAGTTAGTGATGGCAATTAGTTTTTCACTTTAGAAATATAAATTTCACAAGTTCTTTGCATCAGGAATAATCAGTAATTTCCAGCATGATAGAATCTTTGCTAATTTCAGGATAAAGTACAGTATAAAGTTTCATTGGAATATTTATTTAATAGTTTACAGTGTAACATTAATATTGACTGTCTTTCAGGTTGTGGGAAGCTGCTCCTCCTAGATTCAATCCACTGAAGACTCAAAGATCATCAAAAGGCCAGGGAAAACCCCAGAGTACCAAGGACAACATCCACCTGTAAAGGAAAAATAAAGTATATCAAACAGGGACACTCATTTTATTAACACTAACACCTATCGAGAAGCACCAAAACCCCTAACTGCCTATCTTTAAAGATAGGCTCAGCAAGGCCTACCCTTTACTTCCATTTGAGGCAGGACTTGTTGGCTGAAAGAGTGCATCACATCTTTTGGTTTAATGCCCAACATGATGTAAATAAGCTTTGTGAAGCCTATGTACATCATGTTCCAGGCACTAAACCTCTGGATGTATCCACTCTTTCAGTGAACAAGCCCTGTAGTGATTAACAATGTTTGCACATTGTTAAGGGTCCCTACACCTATGCAATTCTAGTCCATCTATTGGATGGGTAGTAGAGCAGGGCTCTGAAAAAGCCAAGCCAGGGAAATCTGCAAGACTGCCTGGTCCCCTTCTATGAAATGGGGTAGGATCAGTACAAACTGCATCAATCCCTGCAGGTTGTAACAGTAGGACTTTGGTACACATCTATAAATGGACTAGATGAAAAAGTAAATTAATTAGTTGACATAGCTAAAACACAATTCCACATACCAACTTTCGTAGATTTGCAGAGTAGAACAACCACACTGAAGCCAGTCAATGCTTTGATAACATTGTAATCTTCCATACCACCTGAAACATTTACCCAAATTAGCTTGTTAAACAACATTTTACATATGCAGGTTCCTTTAATCTTATAATTAAGATTGTTAGAATTCTCCTTTAATGCTAATCAAGCAAAAACATTAAACTTAGTTTGACTAACCATAAGTACATTAAAGTCACTAATATCTCGGCAATTTATTTTATCTACATGTAAGCATCATTTCAGATTATCTTGAGCCATAATGAGTGATTGTTTAAGTTATAATGTTCACTACCACACTCGCCTAATTCAGAATGTCAAGCAATTAACACCTTCAAACTCAGGGCTGAAGTTAGACTTTCCCATCAATATTCTGAAAGACAATATCTATTTAAGCTTCAAATAAATAAACTAAGTTGAAGTACAGTTACCATTCAATATTTAATTTGTGTACTATACCATTATTAAATGATTCTTTAATTTATGAACATAGCCTTTTAAGCTACAAACGTTGATTAAACCCATTATGTCAGTAGACCTCCCAGTTGAGATTCTTTTACCATGTTGTGGCACAGTCTTAAAGCACATCTGGGATCCTCCGACATAAGTTTGAACCCCTCATCACAGCCCTTGTGCATTAGAAATATCACGTTGTGATTTGTGTAATTTATAAATGAATGACTTCTAGCCAAATAATTAAGAACCATGCAAACAAATTAAGATTTAAATAAAACATTTCATAAAATCTTTAACTTGAAATTTATGCCGTTTAACAGTTAGTGCACAAATTTAAAGTCCCATTTATTCTATTCAACGCACAATTCTTGCAAGAATTAACTTTAGGATATAGTACCCACTAGTCAAGGCCTTAAACTAGTTTCAATTTACCCAATTTCAAGGCCCCTTCACAATTTAATGATATATTTAGGTAAAAATCATGTAAACACATTTTACCTATTAAACTGAACTTACTTTGGCCCTCTAATTCTGACAACTATGCTACTTTCTGTAGCATTTAACTTCCGGCGATTGTTCTGCAACTGTTCCTGAAGTTATGTTGGAAGGACCTTCTACAACCTGTCAATGGAACATTAAATATGGTTAATAAGGTTTTGCATAGCAATTTCATTTTGTTTAACTTTAAAATATTTGGCATTTTAAAGTTACACTAACAAATTATCTACTTCCCCCCACATCTAATTTATAAATTAGAAGATAAAGCACTTTGAAGTCCACATTTAAGGTTTATATGCTACAAAAATTTGTATTTCAAATTTATAGTTTACGATTCCCCTCCCCCATATATCTTTGGTAACATTTATTTGAAACATGCCAAGCAAACTTAAGAGTTGTTGCTATTTACGTCAAAAAAAAAAAAAAAAAATACGACAGATCTTTCATTCTTGTACAGTGTTATGATCCCAGGTAGCCGAAAAACGAGTCTTCCCTTTGAGAATTATTCTAGCAAGCCTGCCCTGATTAGAAGGTCTAGCAAATATTGAGGTGATAACCCATATGTAAAGTTGCTTGGATATATATAACAATTTAAGATTATGGGCAGTGAAGAAGGAAACAGATAAATGACTGGCTAGGAGATGTGAACATTTTGCTGGAGGCGTGAGGCTCGCTTCTGGAGGGGCTTTGACCTCACTTGAGGCCAGACATCGCAGGGGAAAACCGCGCTCCGTTGAGCTCGCGTCAGAAGGGAACCCCTAGTGATATATCTCTAAGAGAAGAGAAGTGTGCAGACGTACCAGCTGTGGAATCGAGCTGGGGACGTGTGGTCTCAAGTCGTGGGCGACGAGGAGTGTTGATTGAACCGCCCAGACGCATTTTTGTGGGCCGCGGCAGTGCCTTGACCAAGCTTTGTCAGAGGGAGGAGTGCCCTCGACCAGGCAGTCTGTGGTAAGCACGATATACGCCAGTTCATAGCGATTGCTTGTAGTTGGTCGTGTGCCCAGCGACAGTAGCAATGTTTATTGATAAATTAGACATGTTGTAATAAGGCAGAAGGCCTGAAATAAGAGAGTGGAGAGGGAGGAACACGGAGCGACGTCCGTCCCCTCTGAGCGCTGGCAGGTGACTGAAAGCTCCCGACGGCGGAGGTCCCTCCCTGAGTGAGTGAGGACTGCCGCCGGGCGAGGTGGAGTATGGACCCGCCCAAAACGGGGGAGTCCACTCTCACTGTATGTAGAGAACAGATAGAGGTTTGAGGCAAACATATTGTGATTATTTTTATGTATTAAAGGGGAACATTTTATTGCAGTGTCGATGGGTTGCAGGTTTGTCTTTGGGGAAGAAGTTGCTGAGAACTTCGAAGCCAGCCTAGATGAAGTAGTTGATGAGACGCCAAGGTAGTGGAGCAGAGGACCTCGAGCTGTGAGGAGAAGTAGTGAAGAGGAGTGTCACGTGCTTCTGTAGAAGTGGTGAAGCACCATAGTTGCTCGAGGAAACTTCATGGTGTAGCAGCCAAGAGAGCTGTGGAGGAACCTAGCAGAAGTAGTAGAGCACCATAGTTTCTCAAGGAAAACTTCATGGTAGCAGCCTGGAGGAGCTGCAGAGGATCCTGGTAGTTAAGCCCAGAAGAACCTGAAGATATCAGGGTAGTGACCTTCCAGAGGTGGAAGGGAAGTTCTGGTGGATTACTTGTAGGGAGTTGATAGTGTTTGGTTGTCATTAGCGTGCAAGACGCAGTGAGAGGCGAGTGACTGTTTGCATTCTTATGTCAAGGAGTGTTTTATACTGAAGTTTAGAGTTACAGTCGTAGGATGAATTACATACAAATGTATGTGTTCTAGGACTGATAGTGATCGATTGATCATTGTTGTGGATCAATGAACATTTATACTGATATGTTATTGCATTCAAATGCCGATTTTCTTTGTACACATTTAAAGATATATATATTTCTCCTGTTGATAGTGCAACAGTGTATGTAGACTTTATCAACTTTATGAGGTTGATAGTATCAGGTGGTGAATCAGAAGATAGGATACCACTTGATAAGCTGATGATAGAGTTCTGATGGTGTTGGAGTGCAACCTGATTGTAATATTATAGAGTATAGGATTCATTATTATTATATGTGTGTATGTATCGTGTATGTGCTTTGTCCAGTAAATGTATCCCAATTTGCTGGTGTTTGCCCTTGTCCTAGTGAGGCTTCCCAGGAGGTAGTAAACAAGGGGAGAGAGAGAAAGAACCAAGAACCACTGCTGTGGACAGGGTAGAAGGTAATACTAGTAAGTCATAGGGGATTGAGGAGGTCATATCTCATAAGGAGAGAGTGGGGAGTCGCAGCGGCTCGAGTGGGTGTGCACGTGACAACGAGGCTAAGTGTTGGAGCCGCATCCCTTAAACGTGTGATGCCGAGCCCCTCTCCAAGAGCCAGAAGCGCCAAGGGTGATCTAGTATAAGCACTCTACCGAGTTGTGGGTCGAGTTGTCCATAGAGAAGGATCAACGACGACAACATCAACCAACCCACGGGACTATAATAACAGCCACAAGCATGCGTACCATTTAGGCCAATAACTTTATTCCATGTTACCCCAGAACACTAAAAATTTAACTAGGTACCAATTTTACACCGTTAAACAGATGATACAGTTACTAGCCCAGGATTCATGCCAAATCACTCTTGCTTGCGGATCAAATGGGATTTAATTTTAAATAGATAAGCAAACTGTACACAGATCTAAATGTATTTGCCATTTGTTGCCACTTATAAAGTACTTAAACCTCATTTAGTAAAAATTTATAAAACCCACCAAACCGGGAAGGCTATGTAGTACCACCGAGTGTGGAAGTTTAAGGCACGAGATTCAAGAACGTGTTTAAGGAAAAATTGAAGATTAGAACCACCGCTAACAAGTGAGAACCCAGTTCGGTTGTGACCTGCACTGGCTCCACCACCAGAGTACCACAGAGGTGAAGAACCTGCTAGTCATAGGGAATGAGCTTACCCACAATATTGCAAATCTTCCAAATCTGCAGCAGAGGAGTATCTGACGTAATGGTGGAAACACTTCCAACTCTCGCGCCTCGCTGTCCAGGTGGTCCAACAGGCCACTGCACTTTCTGAAACAAAATATAAGAATCAGCCATCTGCCAGCGTCAGTCTTTTCCAGGCTGCACATTTACAGCCGACAACCCTAGCAATCCGCAGTACAGGGAACGCACTTCCGTGTGCCCTCGGAGGTAGAGCAAGGAATAGAGGGTAACATCGAAGACTAATGAAAACGAGGAGGGTGCAAGGAAGAGGTAGTAAGGAGGTCATAGTAGCACGGAGGGTGAATAGGTTCTAATCAGCTTTGGCAAACTGCCACCTAGGGAAGGAGAGGGGAGGGTGAAAAGACAAGGGAAAACAAGGATGGTGAAATGGTCACTTGTGGAGGTTATGAACCCTCCACGAGATATCCAAGTACAGAGACGATCAGAGAAAGATCAAGACAGGAAAGTGAGAGTCACAGTCCACATGGGGTGGGCTCACCAGAATTCAGGGAAGAGAACGAATGGTTCGAGAAGGCCGCCTCGGGTGTGTCAACATCACCCCAAAGGGTATGTCGACAGTTTAAATAACCCAACAGGAACACCAGCTCTGTTAAGGAGTCCAGGAGGTCCCTGACATCAGGAAGGGAAAGAGGGACATTTGGGGGAAAAAATTTAACAGACTACATTTTACTCAAAAACATGGCCAGCAAAATAATGGATAGGACATGGAAACAGTAGGACAAAGGGATTATCAGTACGAATCAAGAGACCAATATAGTTATGGGCCCAGCAAGATCAAGGGGGGGGGGGAGGGAGGAGAAGGGGGAAGAAAGGAATAACCACGACAGTTATCACGACGAGCACCAAGCATATGCTCCCAGAGACAAAGTGGTGAAACCTAAACAGAAGTTGGAGTTCATGGGAGTTAGCATAAAACCCATAAATATTACATTGAAGAATTGACATCAAAAAAATAAAAGGACAGCAACAGAATAAAGAAACAAAGGTAAATAACACAGCATATTAAAAAAGCTAAAGATCAGAATAAAGTTCAGCGGGCCATGGGTTAACTTAGTAAGAATGTAGGGAAAAAAGAGCAGGACACCAGAGGCAGATTGACAGGGTTCAGGGAGGAGGGGGAGCTGTCAAGGCCAGGAGGATAGGGGGTAGAAACTAGGTCAGCAACCAAGAGGGAATGGGGCCAAAAGAAACTTCCACATTAGGGACAGGGGGGCCCCAACCAATAAAATGGGGAGTAAGCAATAGTTAGGGGGCGAGGAAGAAAGGAATGCCGTCTCTTTTCATACCCGCAGGGGGAGGAGGATGGAGAGGAGCCAGGCTTACGTTTCTGACGGACAGGTGTTCCAGTAACATCGTACTGGCCGACTGACTAGGGTCTTAAGTGAAGAAAGGGAGTGAACAACATCAAGATTGCTGGGAGGATGATGGACATCAGCCTGGACAGACAGGCGACGTGGAGGGCCAAGAGGTAGTGGGGAGGGACAGGAAGGATAGGGGAAAACCGACTTGGCAGACAGGGTAGGAAAAGGAAAGGGGGGAATCCAGAAGGAGATTCACGAGAGATACCTTCCGACCCAGGACATAAAGGAACAGGGAAGGTGGTGGTCATGTTCGGGTCCAAGGCCTAGAAATGGTTGTGGGACAAAGGTGGGAAGGACAAGAGGTAGAACAACGTGCGAGCATAAGATACGCCAGTGAAGGGGTGGACACTGCAAACCTTGTCTTGCCTCGGGAAAAGTCAAATGATTCCTGGTGTTTCAAGTTAAGGACTACTTCAAGCTTTGAGTCGATACACGTGCGAGAGAATGTAGGGTGGGCCTCGCCGCAATTCAGGTAGCGAGTCCGGGGGATATGAGCAATCTGTCTTAGAGATGCTATCGTCCCCACACATGGGGCAGAGAGAAAAGACTTGTGCATTTGAGGGCACCGTGCTCGAACTTGCCTCACTTATTACAATGAGTGAGAGGGGGGGGATGTACTCTTGAACAGGGCACCTGGCACCAGCAAGAATGATAGGTGGCTGAAGGGTCTTACTATCAAAAGGTGATACTATCAAAAGTGAGGTTTGTTTTTAAAAACCAATGTGTCGATATTACAAGATCATTGAATGTGAAATTATGAAAGATTGTCACCTTGCAGATGTGAAGTGAAACTAATCTGACAGTGCGTTTACACCCCCCCCCCCCCCCTCTACTTTACGTCACGACAACGACAGCCAGAAACGGAGATGGACCTCATTTAGTAGAAAACTTATCACTAATATCTACAGTATGGGCAATGATAATCTATAATTGTGTTCTATTAACGTTAATTTTCAACTTTAAACTTATGTACACCTACATTAAGTATCCTAATATACATGAACTTTGGTCAAGACTTACTATAATGCCTTGTATACTTTAAGTTTGATGTTGGCGACTATATTACCAACAGGTAATATATAAGTTAGATTTTAACTACCTTCAAATACAAACATTTGCTATAATAAAAGTAATTATAAAATTGAAAACCAATATGATAACCACCCTTTCACCAAGTTATGATCATTATTCTAATTAACACAATGTTGTACAATATTATAACAATATTTTCCAAAACATTTATTCAACTTGCCGACTTCAATGCAACAGGAATCTATCTTATCAATGTGGAGCTGTGATTATTCCTTCAATCCCATGCACCACACTACAAACTTGCAACCAACGTTTCTAAGTTACGTTTGGCTTTAACAACTACAGCCAAGTTGGGAAAAAAGCTGCCTTGCATCACCTTGTTGCTCAAACAAGGTAAACTGCCCAGAACACCAATATATTTATAATCAAGTAAATTTGTAGTCGAGACACAGATGGTGCCAAGAACCTTAAACATTCCAAAACACTGAAAAAGCTCGTTTCAATAAAATTAGAGAAACAACTCTAAAATACCACAATATCACTATTTACAATAAGCGACTTCAACTAACCCAGAGTTTTTTATAAAATTTAATTTCAATACATTGCAACAGCCATTTCAGATAATGCATCTCCACCTGTCTAGAAAATATTAATACATTTTAGTATACATTGTTACCATTAAGCTTACAAATTATGAACTTAGGTACTTTAATATTCATAAAGTGCTCTCAGTATAACAAGTCGCATTAGAAAGTTTATGAAACTTACAATAACATTTGCACACCAAACCAATAGATACAAATTAAAATAATTACCTAATAAATTTGACCATGCAAGGGAAAGTTTCAAGAATCTAGTAAGTAAGTAAGTAATTATCAAAAGAAGGCACCAAACCGGGAAGGCTATGTAGCACCATCAAATACGCAAAATAATCAGAGGGCGCTAAATATCACCAAGGATGCCAATACGAGAACAAAAACGCATAAGGCGAACGATATCAAAAGTATCCGAGTCACCAAGAATTCTATCGAGGGACAGGTGACCGCGAGGGGCGGTCGGAAAGCAAGACACACGCTCGTCCTGGAAGTCAGGACATTCAAGAAGGACATGCACGACCGTAAGAGGGACAATGCAACTAGGACAATAAGGAGCAGGGCGGCGCTCCATCAAGTGACCATGGGTTAAGCGAGTATGGCCAATACGCAACCTCGCCAGAGCTGTTTCCCACCGCCGGTTACGGTGGAAGGAGGACGGCCACGAGGAAACACAACATTTAAGAGTACGTAGCTTGTTACCAGTAACAGACAACCAAGAAGCCTGCCAACGGGTAAGGACTGAGGAATGGATAACCGGGTAAAAGTCGGAATACGGAATGCCTTTACGAGAGATGGGACAAGAGCGGACAGCTTCCTTAGCGGCAGCATCTGCACGCTCATTTAAAGACACGCCAATATGGCTGGGAACCCAACAAAACTCAACCGACTTAAATTTACTGTGAACGAGAAACAGCCAATGCTGGATCTCGACAACTACCGGATGAACTGGATTAAAGCACCCGAGAGCCATGAGGGCACTACGAGAGTCAACAACAACCACAAAGGAAGACTGACAACGAGAAAGCAGGAGACGAAGAGCATAGAGAATAGCATAAAGTTCCGCTGTAAAGATGCTAGTCTCCGGAGGCAAGCGACACATATAAGTGCGATCAGGAAAAACAACAGAGTAGCCAACACCGTCCGCTGACTTAGACCCATCGGTGAAGACAGAAACGGAGCGGGAGTGAGAAGAAAAGTGCTCGAGGAAAAGGCGTTTTAGAACTGTAGGAGGGGTAAAAGCTTTAGTGATACGAGTCAAGGATGTACAAAACCGCGGAAGAGGGACCCTCCACGGGGGCAAAGAAGGAACAACACGAGGAGAAACATCAGAAATACGAACGGAAAGAGAATCCTGTAGGCGAGATAACCGGACAGAAAGAGGGAGGTGGTGAAGAGGAACAGGAACCGCAGGAGGGGTAAAAGTTAAAGCACGACAGAGGCGAGAGGAAGGATGTTGCAAGGACCGCGCAAGATAGCGAAGACAGAAGCGATCACGGCGGTCCTGGAGAGACAGGAAGCCAGTGTCAACATACAAGCTAAGGACGGGAGTCGAACGAAAGGCACCAGAACTGAGGCGCAACCCAGTATGGTGCAAAGCATCAAGACGGCGAAGAGTAGAAGGAGAAGCAGACGAGTAAGCAGGGCAACCATAATCGAGCTTAGACAGGACGAGAGAGGAATGTAAAGCAAGGAGAGTGCGCCTATCTGCCCCCCAAGAAGTATGGGACAAGACCCGAAGGAGGGTAAGGGACTTACAGCACTCAACACGGAGGTAAGAGATATGGGGAGACCAAGACAAACGAGTGTCAAGGAATAACCCCAAAAGCTTCGCGGAATCTTTGTATTCAAGGGGATGACCATAAAGTGACAAAGAGGGACGAAGAACAACCCGTTTCCGCGTAAAAGTCATGGCACAAGTCTTAGAAGTAGAGAACTTTAAGCCATGACCTGTGGCCCAAGACGACACGGCATCAATCGCAAGTTGAAGCCGGCGTTGAAGGAGAGGCGAATCAACACCCTGACAACAAAGGGTAAGATCATCGACATAGAGAGCGGAGAAGACACCAGAAGGAAGAGA